GCCAAATGATTTTGGCCGCAATATTTTTACCGGATATTCACGAATATCACACACATATATATATAAAAACATATATTTAGATATATATATATATATATATATCATATATGTTCTGTGTGATTTGCGTGTTTGCCGGCAAAATTATAGATTTCCTTCCCTAGTTTAAAATCACTCTGCCGATTTGAGGTTAAAACTCCTTTTGCACGAATTTCTTATTATAAAATAAAGAATTATTAATTTAAAGTTTAAGTTCCTTATTTTCGATTTCTCATTCTAGATTGTGAAATTCTTTTTTTTTTGCGATTTCTAATTGTGGAATACCAAAATTCTTTAATCAAGATTCGCATTTTGGTTTTTAGAATGCACTTTTGTTGTAATTAAATTGTTATTAATCTTAAATGATTATTTCAATGATATCTATTTATTAATATTTCTTATCTTATCTGAAAATAAGTAATGTAGTTAGTAAATATGCATGTATCTATACTCAAATAAAGCAGAGAGCAAATTTCAATAGCATTTTCTAAGATGCAAAAATATATTTTTGTATTTTTATTTTTTAAAAAACCTTTCCAATTTTAATATATTTAAAAATTCTTTCCAAGAACCAAAAAATGTTTCTAGTTTACAGGGCGATTTTTTAAATTTAAGTAAGATTTGTATTTATTTATATTATAGATTCATAATATTTATATTTGTATTATTAACTGCCAACAATTTCAATTTGTCTGCTCTTATATAAGAAAATCTTTCTAAATCTTTCAGATATTTTGCTGAAACTTGGAATTCCTTTGGATCGCATTATTGTGCATCTTCCATCTTATGAGTTCTTATATATGCCAGACTAAACTATCTAATTTCAAGATTTTTCATATTCTTGACGAAGTCACACAACCCAATCCACTATTAATTTAAGCATCGAGCCTTTATCTAAAGGTCTTATTGATGTGTAGGGTAATAATCAATAATAAATCTATGAAATGAAATATATATATAAGCATAAATCTCTTTATCATTATTTAAATTTCATAATATCAATAAATAGCTTTATTGTTAATATAGGGTATATATTAAACATCTAGTATTAAGCATATATTATATAATTGCAGACAGCTCTTGAGATAGAACACATAATCATCTTTATCAAAGATATTTTTTGTATAATTATTATTACTTTCTTATAACTAGTACTGATCATCGACTTTTTCTTCAATTTGTTCGTATATGGTTTATTAATTATCATTTCTCAATTGGTGTTCTTATTTATTTTTCGCACCCCAACATTTAGATGGCCAATTGATTTGTTGCCTTCATCTCAATTTGCGCTATTTGAGTTCAGTTCCGCCAATTAGCGATTGGGAAAAGGCCGCATTGAATGCGATCGATCCTTGGCAGGCTGCAACTCGACGTTTCCAGCTCATCGCTTTCAATTTGTATCAAATATCGGAAGGAATTCGACAAACAAGATTTGACTGTTTGGGAATCTATCTATTCAAAAGGACTGTTTGCATTCCGAGGAGGCAGCAACAATTGAAAGGTGCACTCGACCCGACATTCATATGTGTGTGTGTGTGTGTGTGTGTGTGTGCAGTATATATTTATATTGTGTAGCGTGAAATTTGCAAGGCTCGCTAAATTGCACTCGGCAAATTGCCTGAGGAGCTGCCGGCAAAGAAGTCAGAAGTCGATCAAGTGTGGCAAACGTGGCGAAGAAGCAGCTACAAGGATCTCTTTCCATTCTTGTTATTTTCATTATTTTTTTTTTTGTCTGAGGGCTTAAGGAGCAACAACTAGCGCGTTGAAAACTGTAGTTGCTTTTTTGCGTATTTGTATTTCTGCGTTTTTGATGGCTCTTCGAGTTGGTTCTTCCTTTGCGTCTCCAACTATCCTTTGGCTTTGCTGCTTGTTTTGTTATGCGTCGTGCTTTGTGTGTGTTTATTTTTAGTTTTATTTTTATTTCGTGTTCTTTTTTTTGTTGTATTTTTTCGAGTTTCAATTGTTTTGAGGCACATTCAAGTGGAAGTCCTTTGAGTGATTTTGCCTTTGGTCGAGCCCGCCCGCACTGCAGCTGTTTCGCTCGCACTCGTTAACCCACCTGCAGCCTCCATCTCGCTCTACTCTCTCCCTCTCTCTCTCTCTCTCTCTTCATCTCTCTCTCTCTCTCTCTCTCTCTCTCTGTCGTAGATTTCATTTGTTTGTTGCGTTTTGCATGCAAAATTTGTTTGCAGTTTGCTGTCATTGTTCACATTCTTGTTCATTGTCAGACGGTTTTCAAATGTAAGCCTCATTCTCATTCTCATTCCCATTCCCGTTTCCATTCTAATTCCCATTCTGATTCTTGGTCTTGTTCCCATTTTCATTTTTATCCTCATCTCCTCAACTCAACTGAAATCCCAAGTTCCGTTTTGTTCGCAACTATTTGGTTTTATTTGTATTTGTATTTGTATTTTTATTTTTGTTTTTGTTTTCATTTTTGTTTTTGCTTTGCCTTGTTTTGCATTGTTTTATTTTCATTTTCCTTTCAGTTGCTGCAATTTGCATGCGGTCGTTTTCCTCAAGTTTACCATTTTCACTCGCATCCATTGAAGTTGCCATGCATTTTTCATTTTTCATTTTCCATCTCTCATTTTGCATTTGGCATTTTGCATTTACCATTTACCATTTACCATTTACCATTGTCTGGCAATCATCAGGCAAATTGGTTGGCCTGTGTTTCCATTTGTGTTTAGCTCTGATCCCTCGATAATGAACTGACCAGTGTCCAATTTTCAATCTTCAATCTTCATCCTCATCATCATCGTCCTGTCATCATCCGAGGCATTATTGCGGCTTCTGTTTGAAAACAATTTCATCATATTCAACCAGTTTATTCTCAACTACTCCCCGAAGTCCCTGAAATATATCTTAAAGTGTAAATTTGCCTTTTGAAATCAAATTTTCCTTTTTTTGACACCAACCTTGCCTCGAGAGTTTCCATAGTAAGCTATAATGAGAGATATATAAAGAAATTACCTATAACATTCATATTATTAAATCAATATAAATATATAAGATTTTATATAAATTCGAAAAGCATTTTTATTTTTATTGTACACAATTTCATCGCTCAAACAGCATTTTTAATTGGCCCAAGTTAATAATAAAATCATATTGCAATTGATTTATTTTCATTTCAATGTCAAAGAAGGATTTTAATTTAAAATTTTGTAGTGAAACAAGAAGAACAAATAAAATGAGCACAAAGGATATTTAAGCAATATTGCTGAAAAAACAATTGTTTTAAACAATTGACTATATTTTATAGCTGTTCTGCTGCTGTAGATAATTTCTTCATTCACTCATTTTTAATATATTGAAATAATATATTGGAAATAATATAGTAATATTAAAAAAGGCTCAATTGCGTGTAGCTATAGAATAATTACAGATATTGCTTAATTAAAGTTAAATACGAGGCAACAAATAAACGCAGTGCTATAAATAAAAATAATATAAAAGAAAATTGAATATTGCGCGCCTTAAAGTAGGCAACAGATTCTAACTGCATCTGCATAGCCAGAGAAACACAGACACACACACACACACACACAGACAGAGCAGTGTTAATAACATGCAAGCATTAAAAAAAAAGTATAAGAAAAAAAGCTTAACGCATCCAATCTACTTTATTAATTACAAGTAATTAAAGTTTAATTAAGAGCGCAACTTTTGCTGTGCTGTTGGCCTTTCAAGGTTGCGTCGCTGTGTGTGTGTGTGTGTGTGTTGGTAAGCGTATTCAACATAAATGAGAATACACACACATATACACACATACACCTACACCTACACATACACATACACAACATGCATACATATTTAAGTTGTCGAAGTGTTTGTGTTTTTCATTTAATGCCCAGAACAGAAACAGAAACAGAAACAACAACAACAGCGACGAAAGTCAGAAATAGAAGAAGCAAACAACAACAACCGCAATTTGTAGTGCATTGCAGTTGTTGTTGTTGTTGCTGTTGCTGTTGTTTTTGTTGCAATTTTGTTTGTCTGTTTAATTAAAGCAATATGTGGCCTCGAGGAATGTTGGGTTAATTGACTCATCACTTATACGACAAACGAAGCCCAAGCAAACAAACAAACAAGCCAACACGTACACACATACACACACACACACATACATACACACACACACACAGACACACACAAAATGGGGGAAACATCAGCGTCGCAGCAGTTGGCATACGCACATAACGGTTATCGGGGGGCGTTGCCAAACGGGTTTCGTCATTTGTGGAGCTTGTGCGCAGCAGCTAAATGGCGTTGGCCAATCGCAGCTGTGGATGTTGTTTGCGTACGCCCACACATACACATTGGCCCCTGAATCGAATGCGTGCCACACACACACACACACAAGAGCACCACTGGAAAAAACTGGTAATAAACCAAAACTCGCCAAATAGTGGTTATTGCATTGGCTTGTGCGCATCCAACTTCAAGTGGGAACAGTTCTTGCACGCAGCTCACTTCACTCGAATTTTGTCACCAGAGCGCGCAGCCAACTTAACGTGAGTGCCAAATTTGAGCACTAGCCGCGTTGCCAACTACTTATTCTAAGCGATGAGTTGTAATTCTTAATCGATTAATCATCGATATTGGTATTGTATTGCTACGTTAAGACGAACGCATCTGTAACGCGGGTAATTTGATAATTACATTTTGCTCGACTTAAAAATCTTAAATATTTCGCTGTGTGCAATCAAAGTTCATTATATTATTTACTCCTTCAAGCCAATATCCTTTCATAATAATAGTGATTAAATTATGTTTTCAACAACATTGAGTTGAAAATCATGTGCGTTTATTATGGATCAGTATAGCTATAACTGTTGGTTAACAGATCCATTTGAGCAATAACATGACACTAACAGATCATTTGAGCGACAACTGTGAGCCAATCCAACTAACGACTACACTGTCTCCATAAACAAAAAACTACTCTAACATTCGACACACAACGGAACAACAGCGCATCTGTAAATGTAAACGTGCACACAGATACGGACACACACATACATACATCAAATGAGCAGCCAACAAGTTGTTTGGCATTTTATTTTGCTCTTGCCGCGATAAGTTCGATTCTGCTGCGACTGTGTCAAGTGCTGAACATAGATACGTGCGTGGTTAATATTGTTTTTCGTAGTATCATTAGTTGTTGTGGTTGTTGTTGCCGGTCAGTCAGCAAAAAGAGATACATTCCATTTCCATTCCGTTTGCAATCGCGATTCGCGAGTCGCGACTCATTTGGCAGGCAATCTGTGTGCGAGATCGGCGACCTGCCAGTGACAGTGCTGTTAGTGTTGCTGTTAGTGCTGCTGCTTGTGATAAAAGCATGGAAATGAATCATTCAACTCGGCGGCGCATATCATAAATGAATAGTTTGTGTCCAGCAAAAACAAAAGCAAAAGCAAAAACTAAACGAAGCGAAACTAAACTGAACGAAACCGAAGCAGAATGGGGAGGGGAACAGCTTAGAACGATCATATATAGAAATATGTAAATCATTATGTGCAGCGTCAATTGTCAATTGAAATCCCTCTTCTTCTTCCAGACGACAAATGTGCCCAAATAGTGCAAACAACAGTGCATTTAAATCTTCTTTATTTTTTATTGTGTCCGTGTTTGTGTGTGTGTATGTTTTAAATGTGGGCCAACGACACAAATTTCGCATAATTGCATAGAAATTTGCAGCTATCCGGCGACAAAAGCGAAAGGTAAAAGTTTGTTGATTTTCTTCTTGTTTTTATATCTTTTGGTGTTGGGTTAATTTGCATAAATTTCTTAACATATACAAAACATTTAAATCCGTGTCGAAAACAATAACAAAACAAAGAGAAGAGCAGAGGAGAGAAGAATGAAACATGCATCCATCCATCTCTGTCGCGCAATCGCTCTTTTTATTGCTGGCTCTCTTATTAACCTTTAGGCGTGCGCCCGCATTTTCTTTCCGAAAACAATACACGCCTTAAAAATGCATTTCATATATGTATGCATGTATGCCGATCTATGTTATGTGATCGATGTTCCATTATCTAACTCTTAACAGTTGCTTAACAGCGATTGCAGCAAACATTTATCTGCTCTCTCGCAGTTGCATTGAATGTGTGTGTGTTGCTTTTGTTGAGTATAAATGAATGCATGCACACAGACGCGTGCGCTTGATTGTATTTGTTGTATTATCACTTTGGCACAAATTGTTGTTGTGTTGTGCCCACTAACTAACTTACGACTGCTTATCACTCAAATTCCGAACAGAGGGAGAAAAAGCGAGAGAGCGAGAGAGAAAGCAGAAGTCAAACTTAAATGTAAACCCGTTATCGCTCTATATCTCTCTCTGTCACTCCGATTCAGTATGCGTATGTGTATATATATACATGTATATTTATTGAATGCACAGTGTCCACCTGTTGCCGCAAAATGGAACACACTTTGACCGTGGGGCCCAATTCGCATTCGCATTTTTGTTCTTGTTTGTTTTCGTTGTGTACGACAATTTTTTTGTTTCTAACGCTGTTAATTGTTTAGCAATTTGAGACAATTATAAACATATTAAGTTTGATGCCGCTGACACACATTCGCATATATATATATATATGTATGTGTGTGTGTGTGTGCTTTTTGCGATTTTCCCTCTGGCAAATGCCATCGAGAACTTTTATAAGCGATTGTCACTAATCGTTAATCAAAACGGTACGTAATAAATAAATCGGTTTGCTTTGCTTTTGTTTTTAGTGAATCAGTTGCATCAATATTTCACCAATAAAAAGCTGAACTTCAAGTTAAACTTTGCAGCGATGTTCGACCTGCAGATACCTTGTAACCAGCTCTATTTAAAAAAATATGATGGAAGACTAATAATTTAAAATGAAAACACAAATTAAATTTTGAAAAAACCTATTTCTATAAAGTCGGATCGAAATTTTCGACTGACCAGCTCTCAATATTGCTTACAATATTGCTTATAAACACAAAGCACACTGAAAATGTCGTCATTGGTTTTTTTATATAGCAGACCACGACTCACTCCACTTTTTCAACTTGTCGCACACACAAAAGCACAATTGCAGACAAGAAGAAGAACTACAACAACAACAATAACTGGCTGCCTGTCTGACAAGCCCAAAAACCAGATGGGTCACCATTCGCGCAGCAAACACGTCGCCTTCAAATGCACAGCGTGCAGACACTCATACACAGACACCCTCTGTCTGCCTGTGTATGTGCATTTGTATGCATGCATGCACACACACACATACGCATTTAGTTACAAATCTGCTTTGTAATTCTTTGTCTGTCAGCTAATCAAGCAACGCATGCTAAACCACTCTCTCTCTCTCTCTCTCCCGCTCTCTCCTCCATTTCGCATTGACTCTTTTTGGATAGTCTTTTCACGTTTTGCTAGCTGCATTAAAATGTTGCTGTTATTGTTGTTGTTGTTGCGCAGGCGCCTGTGTAAATCAATTCAAACTCGAGTGAAAATATTGAGAAAATCAAAATGTTATCTTTAAAGCTTGGTTAGTTTCACGGCGAAGAGCAACAAAAGATGGAAATTAAAAAAAAAATAAAATAAAAGAATATATTTATGAGTCGATAAGTTACACAAGTGGCAAGAATAACTAATGCAGTTTATTTATTTATAGCGGTAACAGATCTTCGAACAACAACAAATAAATTAGAAATCTATTGATCAGCTCTCGCAATTTGTATGTTTGTTGTTTTGTTTATGTTTATTCTTATACATTTGTGCTCTGCTTTGCAATGGAGTTGTGCTGATGATCGGTGGTAATTTCTTCATGCGTTTGGCATTTGAGTGTTCTGCTTACTCAGCACATACACACTCACTTGCCATATTCATATTCATAGAAATTTACAGTTGCTTGGAATACAACTCGAACTCCTGCGGCATCAGCGTATTTTGCCGGACACTGCCATATATATATATATATATATATATATATGTATATATGTCTGTTTATTTGTACATACATTTAATTATAGGGTTTGTGTATGATTCACACTTGTAGCAACGAATCAATGCCAAACAACAAGAACAACTGCGCCGTAAACAAGAGCTATCAAATGTACTCGTTAAAGGGCAAGTGAATCATTCACTCACTTTCCTCCACTCCACTCAAAGTGTACATTTTCTTTCTGGGCAAGTTGTAACTTTGCCATAGTTAAGTCAACTCTGTATCTGGCTCGATATTGAGCTCAAGAGCAAAAAGCTGTTCATTTAGCAAACATATTCACTGTCACTGAACTATGTCAAATATAAATAAACACATAAATATTTTGGGCAGAACATGACTAAGGGGCATAACTAATCTTTGAGTCTGTTCTAGAAATGTACATTTGCCAAAAATAGATTTGTATATTCAATTCAAATTAGTTTTCTTAAATGAGAATTGAATTTGGTATTCATATTTCAGATCTTTAAGTTATAACTATAGCGCTTATGATTGCAAGGTTTGATTTTCTTTTTGTTTTTTATGTTATAATTAACGAAGTTTTCTTTTTTTGTTGATAAGTGCAAATTCTTCGAAGCAGTCTGTCATCGTTTGTTTATTAATAAGCAACTGATAACTCTCAGCAGCCGCAGACTTGAGGCTTTCCTCTGTACGCCTGGTTCATGGAATGTCCAGAGCTGAGCTCGAAAAGATTCAATCCATTATCGCTGCAGCCGTATATATAGTTTACCTATATGCATATACATATATATATATATATATACTTTTTCCAGGAATGTTTTATTCATATGTATTGTGAAACTTTGAACGCCTTAATCAAAAATGTATATTTCTTATGCCGGGTAAGCACGCATCACAATTTGATTAAATGTACAATTTCTCGGGCGATAAATTATTATATATATATATATATATATATATATATATATATATAGTTCTTAAAATGAACTCACATCTTTGAAGAGCAGCTAAGTAAACAAACCCTCTAATTTTGCCATGTGCAACTCAAACAATTTTGCACCGGTCTCGCGATAATTACAAGATAAGGCAATATATATTTGTTGTCATAAATTGTTGTCTTATTAAGCAAACACTTTGCGTATATACAAATATGTATGCATATATATAAATATATATATATTTATATATATACAGCAAATTCTTTTGTGAACTTGAACTACTTGGCTGTGAGTTATTCTTGTGTTCCTGCCTTCTTCGAGTCTTGTTATTTGATGCGTATTTCTTTTGTTAAATGTTTAATGTTTTAATCTAGAAGAAGAAAGCGAAAGCTCAATATAGATCCATGATATATCACAATAGACGGATTGATTGATGGGCGAATTGAATTGGGGAGCCCTAGTTGGTGATGGTTAATGAATTTAACGAGCTGCCCATTAATGCCTTATATGCGATTTATAATTGTCGCTTACCATTCGTACTCGTTCTCGTTGTGCTTGTTTTTGTGGTTGTTGTTATCGCAAACCTATAAAAGTAACCACAATCACATGGATATACATATATATATACACATATCCGCAAGATGTGTACTACATAGATATATGGGTTCATGTGTATATGTATGTGTGTGCCCATTGAATCATTTAGACGTGGAACAATTGTTTCAAGCAGCTTTCCGATTAATCATCAAGTCGACAATATTCAGTCAAGTGGGAGTGGGGAATGCTGGAGAGGGGAGACGGGTAGACAGGGAGGCGGATGAGTTGCTGTTCCTAGAAAATGCTTCATATGATGTAGCCCAATTAGAATTTGATTTGCTTCGTTGGGGGTGGGGATGCTGATGGACCCTCTGCGTCTCTCTTTCTCTCGATGTGTGTCCATGATTCAGGCAGTGTCCAACAGATGCATCAGACGCATTGTCATATGCAAGTTCATTCATCCATTTATTCAAGTTGTTGCGGAAAGCAGCAACAACAATAACAACAACAACAAGTTCATTAACATTGTAAACAAAATCATTGAGCCAGCTGTAGCTGCCCAACGCAACTTTCATTTAAAGTGCTGGGCACTTAAGCATCAAACAACATCAACAACATGAACAACATGAATAAAATGAACAACATGAGCCATATCCATCCCAAATTCCATCAAATGTCCAGCTGTCTATAGCAAATGGCCCGATTCCAGAGTTCACAGTACTGTGGCATCTGTGGACTGTGTACAACTTGAATACCTATCAGTAAAGAAAACTATATTCCTTTAATGGATAAGTGTAGACTCTGTTGCACTAGCTGGGCGCTCATATAAAATAAATGTTGACAAATCATAAGTTATTTAATCTATATAGCTTTATGGCGTGAGATATACGATAGTATTCGTTATCGTATCGGCCAACATGTTCTGTTGTGCCTTATAGCCAGATTCCAATATGCCCAACATTTCCTACATTCACATTCGTAACATTTCGCGATTCCATTAGGAGTCTTCGTTGTCATTAGGGAGATTCAAATAAAAGAGTGGATCGGATTTTTTTATTTCTTTCTGTGAAATGAATAATGAATGAATTTTGGAAATGTTGATAGTGGAATCAGGCTATTAATTCCTAGTCCCTTATTATAATAGGACTTTAAAATTTCGTTGCATTTAGCTTCATTTGTCTGTTTATCTTTGGGAAATACAAATTAATTTTCGAAATTTAGCAAAAGTTTCGTTTTATTTCGTTATTATACATAGCTGATATAAAATTCTCAGCTATAGTATAAAATATATATAAAAATATTTTGACTTGAGACTTTATACATATTTAGCGATGGATGCACCTGGTCAATGAGCAAAAGCAATTGCGCGACTTTCTTTGAATTCAGGTCGAAGAATATCTTGCTGTGAGTGTTGCTTTGTATTCGAATGTATTCAAACTGATCAGACTCGTACTGAATGTAAATATATATGTATATATATCTATATAATTGTGTGTGTGTGTGTGTGTGTGTGTGTGTGTGTGTGTGTGCAGCTTGAATGGTCATTGGAAGTTGACTTTCTTTCTGTATTGGCCAAGTTTTAGTGCCATTATTGAAGACTTTTATTTTTACTCTGCTGCAACCGGACAGAGATAGAGAACAAAGTTCGTGAGCGATCAAAGAAGAAAGTGAAAGCCAAATGGACAATTAATGATGGCTATCTTTATATGTACACATCTATCTATCCATCGACGGCGATTGTCGTTTAAGTAATTGGCCAGCGTGGACCCAAAGAGGAAACACGTGTCTGACATTTTCGCCCAGTTTATGTTTTTCGCTCGTTTGGGTCTCGCTTAGAGTATTATGAATGTAGGTCAATTTGTATATATATATATATATTTATATATATAAATCAGATTGTCTTTTATAAAGGTGAGCATTTAAACGATGCAAGTATTCCAATTTATACACGTTTAGTTTGTCCAAGTTATTACTTATCATGTCTTCCCTCATTTAAACCACTTTATATTTAATTGTCGTTTTTAAATAATTGTTCAGTTTTATTGTTCACTTTGTCAGATTTCTTTCTATGATAATTTGCACTTAAGTATGCAAAACTTAGACTATGACTACTCAAGAGATATTCGCCTATAATTGCTCAAGTCAAACTGGAACTGGAGTCGCCTCCCTCCGCTCCAGTGCAAGTCGCAGCAGACGTCGCTGTTCCAGTTGCTGCAGTTGCTGTGCGACGAGCATCCGATGCAGCAGCTCCACTTTGTCATAGGCCGTGGCATGCCGCTGTGCAAGTGGGCGATGAACCTGTTGCCGATGCTGTTGATGCTGCTTGTTTCCAGTCTCTGGTTGCATCTTTGTCTGCTTCGTTGTGCAGCAGACTGTGCCGAAAAACTGTAACAGCAGGCAGTAGAGCAGCTCCCACAGATTTTGCTTAAGACTTGCGACTTGTTGCATGCTCTTGTTGCACTGCTTTGCTTGCGCTAACTGTGCCTCTGCTGTGGATTAGAACTCACTTTTATATACATGCAACAGGTAGCGTTGCTTGTCTACATAAATCCCTTGCCTGCCACTAACTTTTGACCCCACACAAACCTACCCTTCTCCCATATGGTCTAAGGAATCCCCCAGTTCTAGGTAAACAAGAACAAAAAAAACCCAATAAAAGCCTTGATGTTAACATTTATTATAGACAGATCCTATAGTTTCCCTTATTATTAAGTTATAAAAATCCTTAAGAAAAAGAAAGGAAGGGGTTTGAATGTAATTTTTCTATTTTTTCCATGTATATACATCATCTGTACATACTTAGATGTAACTATATAATATACAAATAAATCTTTACTCTAAAGTTAAGAAAAATGTGGCTTGAGGCATGTAAAAAGAACTGTTTCTTCTTCGGTCTAGTTAGTCGTAAGAGCTCATCGGTGAAATCGATTGATTTGATAGCTATACTATATGGTCTATTGCTTTTGTATATATACATTTTTATGCTTATGCGAAACTCTTCTCGCTCTCTGATCTGCTTTCAGGCGTCTTTAGTCATGGACGGACAGGCGGGCGGCACACAGACGCGACCCGTGCCGGCGCCCCGTCGCCTCTACCCGGAGTTGCGGGCCTCCAACTACGAGAATATCGAGATCAATGTGTGCAGCACTTCCACTTCCACGCCCAGCAACAGCAATACCAACTCCCTTAACACCAATCACACACAGAACAACCACAACAACAACAACAACAACAATAACAACATCAGCAACAACAACAACACTAACAGAAAACAAAATATCGAAGCAAAGAATCTGCATGGCAGCTGCACGGAGAAAAAACTGCCGGCGAGTAGCCATGGCAAGCTGATACTGCAGGAACACAACGTGGAACAGCCCATATACGGCCCGGATGCGAATGAGAATGTGTCCAGCCCCGAGCCAGTTTATGCCATGCCCAGGCCGGCGCCCAGGCAGCGAGCACGAGCCGAGCTGTTGCCGGAGGAGGAGTCGGATCAGTTGGACAGTCAACAACCGCCTAGGGGTGCACTGCGTGCAGCGCCCCAGGTGCCACAGTTGCCACAGGCGTCCAAGCCACTGAATATTGAGCAGGAACGGCGACGACCCGACCGCTATTCCATCTCCAGTGAGTTCTCGACGACGAGCATCGGCTGCGGCGGTGGCGTCAATGGGCAGCCGGAGGACGATTTCCGTTACACCTCAAATGCATCGCTCGACTACAGCGAGAGCTCGCAGAGCGGCAAATACAAGTCGGCGTCACCCGGGTACGTAGACGAGGGCGAGCAAGTGGATGATGTTCGTCGGGAACGTGGGCAAGATGATCTTGAGTGTGATTCCGAAATGGAAATGGAAACGGGGGCGGAACGCGCCGCCTTGTCCGATCAGGCGGAGCTATCCTCGACCTGTGACGACGATGACAAGTAAACTTTTTTTGTTACCAACAATTTTGTTCAATCTTGTTCTTATCACTTCTTAAACGAATCTTTGGTGTACTTTTACAATCCTCCTCCCAATGGCATGTTGCAACTTGTATATATATATAAATATATAGAAGTGCACTGTCATCCTTCCCCCGTATTTCTATGGTATTTTAATTTGAATTAATATCTATTTCTATTTGTTGACAACTAATCCAAGTGGGTCGGGTGCGATGATTAACACTGTAGAAAAGCTAACCGAACCAGCAACAAGCATTTGATTGCTTTGTGTATAAATTAAATATGAGTTGTAGAAATTGGAATGCACGACGAATCCCAGAGCCAGATTGGGTTGATCTTCGTCTGGCTTGGGATACCTTTGAGCTGAAGGTGTCGACACTGTAAGATACGTTTTGGCAACATTTCAATATCATCTACTAATGTGGGCTCATTAAACATCTACAATTAAGAGTGATAACTGACCAAAGTCTTTGCAAATTTAATAGTCCTTTGTAGCTGACGATTTATTTGAATAGATTTCACTATTGACTCGACACTCGAAGCATGTTTTACTTTTGACTAAAGTGAACTTTAAAAAACAACTCCAAATTAACTGGTGTACTTGAAATTGTCAAATGATAATCATTTGAATATTGTACAATAATTCGAATGATAAGTAATCCGTATATCCCATTTTGTTATTGACAGATCAGCTGAACTGCAATGGTTGTTGAGTTGCGGCTTAGTTAGCCGAATTATCCTAAATCACAAAGAGAAGTTCTGGGCAGATAGGATTATCTTAATTTAACAAATATTTAAAATATTTACTTCCAATCTATTTAGCAATAGATCTTTGACTCCTGTTCACCGATTCACTTCAGATACATTTTGTATTATTTGGTTTTCGAGTTTGGTTTTTTGAGTTGAATGGAGGCAACAGCTGAAACCGTTGAAGGGATGGCAGAGCGAAGTTGCCGCCCCCGCCTAGCACACCCTATATTAGTGTGTATGTGACGCATAACTAGTTGCTGCCACTGATTCATCTGGTCCAATGTTCGCTCTATTTATAGGGCTCCTTGCGACTCTGAACTTCAACTTCCGCCGACGCATTAATCACGCTCGTGTCGGGCGTATCCAAAAATAGCCGCCTGCCGCCTGCCGTCTGACATTTTCAAGATCAATGACAAACGATATGCGCTGAGCTCGGTTCCAGTTTGGTTCCGTTCGTCGTGTCGTTGCCGCAGGAATTGTGATCAGTTGTCGCCTGGCAGTTGGCAGCGAATGTTTATTTATTTTTTTTGAGTTTCGCGCTGTTTAACTGAGGGACTATACTAACCCCAATTGGAGTGGGCGGTGCGGGGCTCTTTTTGAGTCATTCAAGTTCAAGTCAATTGATTAACGAACAAATCAACGAATCACTCTGAATCTCTCACAGAAACTTGCTGCGCTCGCTGGGCAACACCTCGAAGCTACTTGGCGAATCGATTGGCGAGCGGGTCGCGTTGAAGGCCAAAGGCGCCAAGAAGCGTCTGGATAAGAATCTGAAGAGCTCCACGGAGGCAATTAGCAGTCTGAGCGCAGACGCCAGCAGCCGGCTAAGGAACGCCGGCAAACTGTTTGGATCGAATTTTACGCTGGGCAGACGAGACAACAAAGCGACGGATTCGTCGGGCATCACCAGCCTCTCCGATTTGGAACAGCAAATGGAGCTAGATCGACGACGCACCATGCCCAACACGGACGTCTTCAATACGATACAGTTCAGCAGTCCACTGCATCGCAATGCCGCCGGTGGCGGTCACACGGATCTCAGCACGCACACCGAACTGGAGTACGAGGTGCCCAAGCCCAAAGTTCAGCACAAACCGAAGGTCAAGGCCAAGCCGCCCAGCTACGATGAGGCATTGCGTTCGCGTCCAGCGCCCCCCTTGCCGCTGGCCAAGAATCTGGCTCAGGAGGCGGCTCAACTGGTGCAGCTGCGCAGTCAGCCACAGCACCCACAGCAACCACAGCAGCCACAGCAACATCAGCCACAGCCACAGCAGCAGCGTCAGTCGAGCAGCGGTGATTCGACGGGCGAGGAGCAACCCATGCCCAGCTATCCGCCGCCGCGTCTATCACAGCAGCTGGATGCTGCAGTGCAGCCGCCGGTGCGTCACAAGCGTCGCAAGAACTACGAGAACATTGAGCTGCGTCGACCGCCTGTCGATTCCGCGGAACTGCACGAACTCAATCGGGTGGCAGCTGCCGCCGAGCGCGAGGAATCGCTGCTCATCTCGGCCAGCATTGCCGTCGAGGAGGCGCGTGCACCCCAGCCCGAGCGTAGCGACTCTTGGCACTTCTATGGCGAGGCAGCCGAATCTGAAGCCGAGCCCGTTGCCGATTCTGAAGCGGACGCTGACGCGGAAGCTGAATGCGAGTCCAGTTCCTCGCCGGAGCCAGTCTATGCCAATCATGAGGCCACCTATGGCAAACTCTTCGAGATGGCCACCAGCAGCACGAGTCGCGGCAAACTGTTGACGCCCCAACTGGAGCTGGCATGCATCAGTGAGGATGGGGAGCTGGATAGCAATGATGGCGCCGTTGGCGGCTGTTGGCCAGCATCTGTTCACGCGCCGCCGCCGCCGGAGCTCATTGAGGAGTTTGATCCGCTGATGGGTAAATGCTCAACACTGTCGCGCTCCAACAAGAGCAACGAGCTGCTGCTGCTCGAGCATCTGCTCGAGGAGGACACCTATGGCACCATCAAGCGCGAACAGGACGATGTCAGCATGTGCACCTCCGAGGAGGATGGCCGAAATGATGCATCAGCATCAGCAGCTGCCACTTCCACTGCAGCTTCAACTGACACTGCCACTGCCACTGCCACTTCATCTAGAAACCTGAAAAAAGAAGGAAAAGCAAACCAGCCGCAAATTGTTCATCAGAATGCGCAGCTGTTGAGTGACAGCATGGAGCATATGCTGGATGGCAACGATACGCTGGATGCGTCTGAGTTGCGCGCCCGGCCCTATCTCAGTCGGCTGGAGGAGAAGCCAGCGACGGCAATTGTTGATCTGGCGGCACCGTCACGCAATCGCACCAATTGGTTTGTCGGCGACAAGGCGCACATCGAGGGCGACAGTCCGCCCACCTATTTGGAGGCCATTGGCGGCGACGGACAACCGATGACAACGGCGCCGTCAGCTGCCTCAGCTGCGTCCGCTTCGTCAGCGACTCCCGGCAGCTCAGAGACGCGAAATACGCTGGGTTCCCGCTTCCGGCAGACGATGAACGCCTTCTCGAATGTGAAGATCCGCATGGATGCGATGAAGCGCAGGGCAAGCTTCAAGGCCGGCGGCCAGCGACAGTCGGATGTGAAGGTGGCGCTGCAGATGGTGCCCAGGCCGAGTCTGTCGCCGCTGCTGGTGCGCTACGAGGGGCCGCTGGTGCGTTTTCCATCTGGGGTCGTCGAGGATATACTGAAGGAGATGCAGAACCGCAAGGCCGTGCTGCGGGACAGACAGTTTCAGACGTATCTCGACCAGGAGATGAAGACGCCCAAGGAGATAATACCGTTGGATGCCATCACGACGCTGCAGTGCGTCAGCAATAGTCGCGTCACCGATAGCGCCACACATTTCTACTGTTTCGAGGTGACGACATCACAGCCAAAGAATGGCGGTGCCGGTGGCAGCGACACCATGTCCTCCAATCCCAATCTCTTGATGACCAGCAATGCCAGCGGCAATGTGAAGCAGCAGCGTGTCGCCCATCTCTATGGCGTTGGCAAAGAGTCCGAGCGCGGCGTCTGGATGCAAAAGATCCTCGAGAGCCTCACCAACATTGTGCCCGTGAAGTACACTTGCCACTATTATCGAGCCGGCTGGTGCTATCTAAAGGTGAGTTCTCTACTCCTTATCCTACTCCAATCGATCCTTCTTCATTGGCCTGATATATTTGCATTCGTCGCAGAACTCGATCACCTCAGAGTGGAGCGGCACTTGGCTGGTGCTGCGCAAGAGTCAGCGGCGCCTCATCTTTGTCAGCGAGGCCAATGGCAATGTGGAGAAAATGGATTTGCGAAAGGCGCGTTGCATTGGTGAGTTTATGAAAACTGCAAACTACAAATATGAAAAACTTGACAAATCCGTTGAATTGCAGTTCTCAAGGAGAGCGACGAGTCCATTGACAATCTGCACGTGGAGAGCGGCCCAATGCTGATGATCGACTGTCCGCCGTATGCGGTCTACATGATAATGAGCTCGGCGCGCGAGACAAAAATCTGGCGTCACATTATCAGGGAGGTGGCGCATAACAACGGCTTCTCGCTGGGCGATCAGCAATTGACGCGCTACGATGTGCCCGTCATTGTGGATAAGTGCATTAACTTTGTGTACATACACGGCTCCATGTCGGAGGGTATTTATCGCAAGTCGGGATCGGAGAACTCCATGCACAAGCTGATGAGCGCCTTTCGGGCCGACGCCTTCAACGTGGAGATCACACGCAACGAGTACAATGAACACGATGTGGCCAATGTGCTCAAGCGATTCATGCGCGATCTGCCGGAAAGATTGCTTGGCAAACTGACCGATAGCTTTGTGTTTGTCACCGAACTGGCCGTGGCCACCGAGAAGATACCCATCTACCAGGAGCTGCTCGGTCGCCTCAGCACCATTGAGCGCGAGACGCTGCGTCGCATTGTCGGCCATTTGGTGTTCATCAGCTCACAGCAGGCCAAGAACAAAATGAGCGTACAGAATCTGACCATTTTATGGGGCCCAACGTTGCTAGCCAAAAAGGTGACACAAAATATACCCATTAGCTATTAACCTCATTCGCTCATCCACTTCATCTCTCCCACAGTGCGACGAGCTCATCTACTCTCAGAAGGAAGCCGATGTGCTAACCGATCTGATAGTGCTCTATAAGAATCTATTTCCCTGCTGCGCCGATGAAATGGTAATAGTCCCTAACATAAACCAATTCAATTAACAAAACCACAAAGTTCATTTCCCTGAATCACTGAGAGAGATACACCAATAATGGATTAGAAGCCAACTGATCAATTGACTTTTGACCTTTTCGGAGTTGCTTTAGCATTGCTGCGAAATTTGATGCAGGTTATAATGTTGTCGTCGTGAATTGCCGGCCGAGTATATATGCAACTGCTGCAACTGCAGGATGTTGAAGTGCCCCACTTAGACTGTTTCTATGCAAACTAGTCTCTCAGCTTGTATTTTCCACACTTAAATATTAAGTTGAACAATATTATATATAGTTATATGTCTTATCAGGCTTTCTCTCAATTGCTGCTGGTATCTTTTTTAGAAAAAGGAGCAAGCGATGCTGATGTGCCTGCAGAAATATTATGCAGCCGCCGAAACATTAAAGGATGCCGTAAAGCAATCGGGTGACATTAAGATCTGGATCAGTCTAAATCCCAATCCCGACAATACCACAGAGGTGAGTCCATTAGCTTATCATCGAGTGCAGCGTTTAATGCTCTAGCGTTTATGGTTGCAGGAGAAAACGCAGGTGAATGCCACAATTTCGCCGACGAAGACCGCCTATGAGCTGTGCCGCGAGTACTCAAAGAAGATGCGGAGACCCACGCACGAGCTGACACTGTATGAGGTCATATTGAACGACAGCTTGGAACGTCCCCTGCATCACGATGTTAAGGTGTTCGATGTCATATTGAACTGGTCCTACTGGCCGGAGGAGGATCGCAAGCACAACTACCTCATGGTGCGACCCATTGAGATGCTGCGCGAAGTGCAGCGGGCTGTCAAGAATCTGGCGACGGTGACGCCTGGCAAAGAGCTGCGCTTCGCCGACTATCGCACCAAATCCTTCAAAACACTGCAGTGTGAGCTGCGCGACGGCAAAATCGTTGTCTCCAAGAAGGATAAGAACGACAAAACGACCATTGTTCGCGAAATCTTTTTGCACAGCTCCACAGCGTATTTGGGCTGTGAGCGCAAGCGGGACTTCCCCTGGAGCTGGGCGATCACATTCGTGGAGCGCACCCAGGCGCAAATTATGAGGTATACCCATAATTCTTATCTGTGCATTTGGTTTTTTCTTAATGCTTAACGTGCTTTCGTTGTTTTTGCAGATCACGAGATGCCCCCTTCATTGGGCACGTGTTAGCCGGCAGCGAGTGGGTCGATCGCACCATCTGGTACTCGAGCATATGGTATTGTCTATATGGCGATAACATACTGCCGCCGGCGGAGATTATCCTGAAGTGAACAACGGAATGGCGCATCGGAGCAGCCATTCGTTTGCCAATCTATTCTGCCTGCACTACACTAGCATTTAATATATATATATATTTAATCATGTTTTAAATCTCACTTTGGGATCCAAGCCACAATACCGAGTATAACATACTTTTTCAATCGCAATATAATTCAGATCACTTTAATTTAATTATCATACAATCCAAAAAGTATGCTATATGTTTGTGGAATACGGTTGACAATTATTATTTTTTGTATTTTTTTTTTTTTTTTGTACTTTGTAATCGCTGAAACGTTCTGTATTTTTAAATGTACATTCATCGCAATATCGCTCAGTTTGTAAGTCCGTTATTTTGTAGATATTAGATAAATATTTTAGTTACATTCATATACATATACACATATATTATTTATATATACTTTGTAATGCGCACTCTTTGTTTTTATTGGTCATCCCAGCATAGCGTCAAAACAAACCTTCAATCTCGATTTAACGCAACGATCGTGATAACAAATAGGCAATGGGTCTTTCATGTCTGTTTTTCATTTGTGCAATACGAAGTTTTAGATCGATACGCAGTTCTGTAACGCCTGCGGAGCTCGAATAGCCACTCAAAATGATTGAATACTCTGAGACAAGTATTTGATGGTCCACTGTTTAATAACCATCACATCAATATTGATTTTACACATATGTACTTATGAATAATCTGCCAAAATCAAACAATAATTGCACTTGGGTTCTATAACCAACTGTACATAGTAACAGCATATATGATTTGATTTGTCTTCAATGCAGCTAGTTTCTGTGGCGCCCCTCAGATCTGTTGATCTGCAGACAGGTGTCTTGGCCACTTTTAAATGGTTTGCACAAGTGTTGTATTCCACGATTTGAATGAATATAAAGTAAATATTCGAATCAACTGAACGCATTTATATACTAAATATAAATTATTGTATTTCTCAAGAAATTATTCATACATATATATTCATTTATATGACTATTAATAAACAAAGCGACTATAAGCACTGTAATTATATTGGGCGTAATAAATGCAAGCATTTGCACAAAATAACTACTTTAGTTAAATTGCCATTGCAACACGATATCAAAATGAATAAAAACTTAAATGCTATAATTTATTCAATCGAGTGATGGGAAACTAATCCGAAATCGTTTTTTTTTTTTTTTTGTTTCAATTAAAACACGAAAATTCGATTATCAAAGCCAGATCGACTCGGCTATTTATTCTAATTAAGCATATAGTAAACATGCTTATATATTCTATTGAAAAAGTTGGAGGGGGAGGGGCAGTTGATAAGAAAATTTGATTATGAAATGTGAACCACTTTTTAATTTATAATAAATAAAAATAAATTAAAGAAATTATCAAGAAAAAAAAAAGTATTATCAGCTAAGCAAAATGTTACGCTTAGTTACGGTGAAGTACCAACGATATCGCCCAGTTAATGATTCAACAGATTATTCCAAGAACTCTGTCTATGTAAGTGCCACTATTTGAATAGAGACGATTATGAAATTCGGCATTTTATGACATTTGACTGCAGAAGAATCTTTTCATGATAAGTGTCATAAACGCCAAATTCAACCCGAAAATAAACGCAAATGTTGACTAAGTATGACTCTGCGCCACGCGCTTTTTAACGCCATTATTTAGCGTAAACGTATTATGGTATTATTATGGTAAAGTCTACTATCTGGCTGGGCGTGTGGCCCACATTATTTGCTTTTGTCTGAAAATGAATTGCTCAGCGTTTTACTATTGTGGGCCATGGCCCACAATGCTGTCTCGCACCTCTTTGTGGCCCAAGGTCAAGGGGCCAAGTTGTCCCACAGGCGCACACGGCAGACGCGTGATAGCGATCGATATACATACATACATACATACATACATACATACATACATACATACATACATATATATCTATTTATGTACATGATAAGTATATTTTTGCATTTTGCATTGAGGTGACTTCCGTACAGGATGGCCTCGCTATCGTCTACGCTGCTGGCATGCCGAGCGGGACATCTATTTTTTGTGCCAAACAAGGCGACGTCGATGAAATTTTTAGTGGAAGTTTTGTTTTGTATTGAAACTGAAATTGATATCGAATTCAAAATCAGTGGCAATTAAATGCTAATGTGACTGGGTGGTTTTGGCAATTAGGCCGATAGACGATGCGATAAATACAATTGCATTCAAAACTAATTGCCAGCCAATTAGCCCCCACATCGGACTATGTATAAATTGGGTGCATCAGCTGCCACCCAGCAGCATCTACGAGAGTGTCCAAATGTTGCGACTACCTTTCATTGTATTACTGCCAGCTCTGCCGCTGCCGCTGCTGCTACTGCTGCTGATGCCACTGCGTGGAGCTAATGTGAGTCTGCATTTGCTTCTCAAATCTGAAAACTTCTAATCAATTTGTATTTTGTACAGTCGGCCACCTATGGTGTTACTTTCGATGAGCGTATTTTTCAGTCCTGCTCCAGAAATGAGGACAAAGGCAATGTACCCATTAGCGATTTGGTGGACACCAGCGAAGTGACGATTGTCCTCGAAAACGATTACGAAACATTTCACTTTAGTGGCGACATCATTATTAAAAAGCAATTACCCAATGTACCCATTAAAGTTCACGTGGAAATATACCACTTAGATCGGGGTGAGTGGGTGCCAACAGTTGCTGCCCTTAAGCGTGATGATTTTTGCAAGTCCCTGAAGGATCGCATCGAGCCCTGGCACCTTTATTACATTAGCCAGATACCCAAAGATCAACGAACATGTCCTCCACACATTGGTGTAAGTATTTGTTTACATTTACATCGGTTAATCCTGTTCAACAAACCTTAGCTAGCAAATAGTTTTGTGAAACAGTTTTGTGAATAACGGGGACTAAGTTTCCTTCAAGATAAGTCTGAAAAAACATAAATGAATATGAGCTATGAGCCAAGAACTGGGTATGTCTCAAGTATATTATAAACTCGAAAAGGTGCTAAAGATCCTCCTCCATGAAAAGAAAGTCTGAGTTAAAAAAATAGTTTTGAAGTCATCAGGCAAGAAGAGCATCAGCATAGGTAACAAATATGGCATTCGACTTCGGAATCGGCAGTAATATATTTATTTCTATTAATCATTTTATTCACTTTCAGCAAGTTTACAAACTAAGAAATGTGACGAATCGAATGACAGTGAAGCATATGCCCTATTGGAATGTTGACGGCGATCTAAAGGCTGTGATGCACTTCAGTGCAGGTGACATTAAGATCTGTGCGGTGATGTACTTTACAGTAACTTTGATCTCGAAAATATGAATAATACGATATGTATATTACACATGCACAGATTACTGTTGCTGTTTGTGTATGCTACATTTTATTGTTGGCATCCCCGTTGGCAGCCTATTTTATTATTTGCACTTCTTTAATGGGCCGTATTCTACCCGTGTACGAGTACATAAATATATCTAAATTAAATGCAAATAAACAAGATATCTCATATTCGTGCATAAAAATGTCGCGTAATTTGCAGCCAATGTTCTCATCAGGCCGTTTTGAAATTGATAAGCGAAATACATATAGATATACGTATAAAAATATATGTATATATATATGTACATCTATAAATTCGTATTCGTAATCCCAACGAAATGAAATGGAACGCTCTGCTCCCGTAATCCCCATAGCTATTTACCCACGGCTCAAAGTCAGCGCCATTTCAGCAACTGAACTCATTCTTATGTGTTTCTCATCCAGTGGCGCGTGATGCCCAAACACCCAGAGAATTTATGGCCCTCATTATATTATTTTATTCTTTTCTGCGGATTCCCTGCTACAGCCACAGCTACACACTATCTGGGTAAGTCTCACGTGGTCGACTCGAGTCGAATCTGGCTGCCATTGGCATTGGTTTACATTAAATGCGAGTCACAGTCGCCTCATTTTGGTCGAGCTGTCATAGCACTCTAATAAAGAGTCAGATGACTGGAGTTCATTAAGTTAATACGAATATGCTAACTTTCTGATATATCACCACATCCACAGCCAAACGGGAATATCAAGATAATCAGAAACCAAGAAGTAGAATAAATCAGCATAGATATTAAATAACATTTCTGCAGGGCCTGCAAATAGAAAATACCCTGTACTCAGATCAAAAGCAGCAACTTTGGGATTATTTCACAGCAATATGTATATTGAAGGATACAGTAAATAATTGATTGACTATATACTTAATAAGCATATACTTTTGTATGGACTTGAGATGATTAGTTATGTAAAAAAAAAATAATAATAATAATAACAAAATGAAGCTATTATTCACAACCCGTATTTACTTATATGCCACTTTATCTACCTTGCTATATATCTTTAACTATTTATTTCCTTCAAAGATAGTAAAGTTGAATAGAATTTGTTATTTGATCAAATAGTATAACAGTTATCTATATATCTTTATTCGTTTACTAATTGTGTGGTGCGGTCTCATCCCATTCGCTGTTTCATAAATATCAACTTACAATGCAAATAGTTGGGACTGTTTAACTTTAACTAGCAACACTTTACGCATTCTCTATTTACTTAGATAATCGTAAATATTGTAAATATTTTTATAACACCAACGCAGATTTAGTGTAAGGGCAAATAATCTTTACACACAGAATTCTACGCTAATTGTCAGATTTGGGGTTTTTTTTATTATCATTTTGAATATACATATGTTCTTAACTTACTTTTCTTACTTTTCGAGTAGATTCTAGAATGCCTCAGCAATTTTAGAATATATTTAAAGTACCGCATAAAAAACAAGCGCCATAACAATAAACAATAACTTTTATTAAAATTTAAATACTTTTGTAATGTTGGTAAGTGCAGTCATTTAAATATTTTTTAAATTCTATTGTTTATTTTATTAACAAAAAGTCATCAAGATTGAAGAACTACATAATGTAACTTATGTAGGAACAATCGGCACCTAAAATGAAGATTATCTTCCGTCTTTCTGATGAAGGCCACTTGGAATCCTTTCACAAAGGCCGACGAGAATCCTTTCCCTTGAAGTTTCATTAGTTTCATGTGTGGAGTCTTCTCTTGAGAGCCGCCTGCCTGTGCCTGCTTATCCGTTTTGAATAGAACGCATATTTGTATATGAATTAGGGTAGTAACTGTGATTTATATGCTTAATTTGCAATGCATACAAAATTAAGCTTGTGGCAAAAAAACAAGTTGAATACGGCACAAGTACGAGTATCTAGCTGGTATGTTCTTGAATTTTCCTTCTTCTGTGAAGGGGGTTGAGGGATGGAGGAGGGTTGTATTTGCTTGTACAGCTGACATGAGCTAAGGCCTGAGATCGTGTCGTATCGCATCGTAATATAAATATATAAACAGTTTACTGGTATTTATGTATAGGTATACATCATAGTAATGTATAGTTTCAAATACGACTTGAATAAAAAAAAAATGACACTCTAATAATAGATACAGCTGTTTGCTGCGCCATGCTTATATCATAAATTTATATTAGCTACTTATTTGTTTGCTGGTCGACTTTAAGCGCTTCAAACTGGTCGTGACCTGTTATTTGCGGGCTGAAGTTAAAATTCTATGGCACATGTTGTACTTTAACTGTACTCTCTCTCTCTCTCTCTGCATACAGTGCAGCTTCTTCATAACGAACGTCACAACAAACTTCAAGTTCTAGAAATACAAATATCAAACTTAGATTCTTAGTTTACTGGAGCTAAAAGATCATTTCCCGATTTCAAAAATTAAAATAATGAAAAGTTGTGTCGTAAATAGCATAAACTCATCGACATGGAAAGATAGAGCAAACCATCAGATATATTAATCTATGAATAAGTCTCTGATTAGGTATTTATATTTATGGAGCCAGCGAAAATTATATTAAAAAACAAAAGATATATATATAAAATGGTTTTTTGGTCTATAATATTGTTATCTCAACGATTTGTATATGCGGATGAATAAAACGATTGGAAGATTATTCAAAATTTGAACATAGTACAAAATAAAATGTAATTTCCATCAATAATTGATTAAACTGGATATATCTGGTATCTTCTAGTCAAGCACTGCATATGGTTTGTTTATAGGTAATTTTAGTCAAGCTCGTCTGTAAATTTGCATATGATATGGCAGAGGTACACGTATAATATGCATAATCTAAAACAGGTATTCACAGTCAGAGTGGTCATTTGGTCGATATTCATGAGACTGACACAGCACTTCTGTCAAACAGCGCGTATACGCGATGGATACCAATTTGCATTGTGTGCACAGGATACCGGAAGCAAACACTCAGTGTGCCAGTTATAGTTGTCGTTAAAGTTACAGTTACAGTTATAGTTGCAGTTATTCAAATCTCAATGTGTAGTTGCAATCGGTGTCGTAACACAAATGACAGCTACTGTTTTCCCAGCACGTTTGATTGCATTGTTGTGAGGGCTTTTCCAGCGTACTTCCTTTGTTTATATTTTGTATATCACTCATACGTCGCGTTGACCCTGCCACGTAAATTGCACGAATTAGGCGTCTTATTTATCGCATTTATGTAACTTTAAATGCACACACAAACACACACACACATAAATATTACGAGATGCAAATATAATATTAGCTCGATGTTTGTCACAGTTTAGCGTCGCCCACTCACACACACACACACACCCACACAGAGCAGATACAGGAGCGTGTGCAGTTTTTTATTGTTGCTGCTGCTTTGCTGTTTGCTCGCATTTTAATTTGTCAAGATTGTCAAGAGTTGCTGCAATGTAACAAAACAAGACAATAACAAAATTAATTTATATGTGCAAATTACACACAATATAACAGAAAATAATAAAGGTTGTCGCACCCCGTTGACAAGCGCAAATTCATAAGACCAGCCCACCAACACCAACTTCCTTCACTCCCTGGGCCCCGCCATATCTACGACAAATACATTTCAAGTGCCAGCTCCTCTACCGAATTTGAATTTTTTTAAAATAATTTTGTTTTCTTCGATTCATTTGATTAAATAAAAAACAGCATTTAATCAAATACGGGGAAACGTCGCGTAGAGTGCAAATGAAAAGTGTAAACAAAACAAAACAAAACCGAGCGCTTCGTTCATCTGCTTCTTCTTGGGCATATTTACTTTATTATTTTCCAACTGATTGTATGCTCTTCTGTAAACATTAAATAAATAAAATTTAAATTAATTAAACAAATAAATATCAACAGAGGCACGAAAAATGCTCAGGCACAAATAACACATTTCATTGCGCAAAACTGCAAAAAAAAGAAGGTTTTTGCACTCCCCCTTAATCTAACTCCTCCTCCCACCCGCCCCTGTTCCCATTAGCCAGTCCATTATAGTGGCCATCTGCGCTGTTGAAATGAAATTCAAAAATCTTACCATTGTACATTTAAATATTTTAAGTATTTCAATCACGTGACCCTGACTGGGACTCAGTCTCGCTCCGCTGCCCCGTTCAAGCTGAGGGTTGGGGGGGATACATGTCTTTGTTATTAATTTAAGCTATTTTCAATTAGTTGCATTCAATTTTATTTAATAATTGATAGATTAACTAGCAAGTGCATGCAACAATTTTAGGAACGAGATGAAGGTTCCCCCAGTTCCGATAGTCTTTAACTAATTGGATAGCTGTAATAACTATTGTGATTGCTATTCAACCAATTATATTATGGATATCATCGCTAAATACTCTGTGAATATGAAAATATATCTATGAATATATAAGATAATATACACTGGAGAATGATCCGTTTGATAGATACCCTGTTTGTCAGCTCAACTCTGTTATCGATTATCATTTTTGTTTTTTGGATTGAAAACTAAGCCAAACGTTAAGATTTACCTCATTTGATTGCACTACTGATGACTTCTTTTTTTTTAAAGATGGAAACACCTAATTTCGTGCATAACAGAGTTGGATGATTTTGAGTGAAACTAACTTGCTGTTTATAAAAGTGCTCGTAGAAATATTGTACAAAGCGAGACCAATTTACTTTTTTTAGTTCTCTGATTAAGAAGAGAAAAATAACAACAAAAAAAAACTTACTTAACAAACAGAGCTAATTTTTTTCTTTTTTGAAACTTATGAATAATGCACAGATCTGCTATGAATATGCAAAGATTCAACTTCAGAGTCACGGAACGCGATGGAGTTGAAGGTGAAGGTGTTTTCTGTGAGATTTGAGATATTTATTCAATTACACTTTAGGCTCATTTTGTCAATGGCTTTAATAGTCATTTAATTTGAATAGAGACGTAGTCGTAGTTTAACTATTTC